TAACCCAAGATAATATTGTATATTTTAGGCGTCAGTACGCCGTACAGATGTGGGCGTGTCATCCCATTTTTTGAATAGTATGCATTTTCGATATTGTTTCTATGTCATGGTTCATTATTCTAGCATCATACATGAATGACACATTCAAATACAATCTCCCCATTAATAATGATAATAATAATATAACACATAGGGTTACCAATGCATGCATGCATGGTTGGTTGCTTGGGGTACAAGTTACCATACAAATTTATGAAAAAACAACAAGTTATCAATACATCATACATTCACGCTGTGTTAAGGGGTTCATTACATGTTTTCCGATTGTGCCCCGATGTACCATACCGACCGCACTTACGTGTTTGGTGCACCTCGCCCGTGGAAGGAATCCTAACTGTCCGCCTCCTGCCAACTCTAGGAACCATATCTGGTGCTTCTACCGGTGTATCGACAAAATCTGGAGAACTGTTCCATGTTGAGACGTGGCCAATTGGAAATATTGGTTCTGCATAAGCCATTACCCAGGAGTTCGTCGTGTATACCTCGTCACACAGAGTGTACGGATTTATGTTTCGCATCATCGCCCCGGCAATAGCATGAGAGCATGGAATTTCAAAATAATCAAACTTCCGACAACTACATGCCCTAGAGTTGAAATCAACAATCCCGTCAAGGTTACCATCACGTACCTGGACATGAAACTGGTCGATGTTCACTACAACGTGTCTCCTGGCATTGTTCGAGTATTCAGCAAGCTTATTTTCTGCGTAGTCGGACAATGTGGTTGATCGGGAAGAGGCAAGCGTCCGTCGATCGTAGAACCAAGTCTGTAACAGACCTTTGATATGGTCCAATAACGCAGTTAATGGCAACCTACGCGTGTGTCTAAAGAGGGCATTCACGGACTCCGCATTATTACTGGTCATCTGTGTATACCTCAATTCTGTTTGGAAACAACGAGCCCAACGCTCCTTTCCAATGTCATCCAGATACTCCCTCACACCAGGGCACACACCAAGTTAAGCCCAGATTGAGTTGAAATAAGACTCTCGATATGCTTTCACAGCTTTTAGAAATAGTTCATCGAGTGCCTTTGCATTGACTTTAAATTTTGCTAACAAGTTCATCCTAATATGTTGTATACAAAAGCAATGAAATGCAGTGGGAAATACCTTGTCAATTGCCTTACAA